CCCCAAAACCCCAAAACCCCAAAACCCCAAAAATACATTAATTAAATAATTAATACTTGAATGGGCAACTGACTTTGGAACCTCTGGAACAGATTGGATGGGCATGGAAGGCAAGAGACAGAGAACCGAATAGTGGAAATAGAAGTAGAAAGAAGAACAGACCCAAGATTTGATAGAGCAAAAGGATGCATTGTTGGAGCTCTTTGTGGAGATGCAGCTGGAGCAGTCCTTGAGTTTTACGAGGGAAAGATTACTAAAGCTCTTTGTAAGTGTTCAATGGGGTTAGGGGAGTTATGGTGTTGTGTTTAGGTAGTAAAGCTATTCGAATGCCTGGAGGTGGAGTTTTCAATGTTGGGCCAGGACAAGTTACTGATGATGGTGAACTTACAATGTGTCTTCTTCATGCATTAGTCAATGGTAAAGGAAAGTTTAAAGAAACTGAAGTGGCTAAATACTATGCAGAATGGTATAAGTCTGAGCCATTTGATTGTGGAATCACAATTGGAAATGCTCTTTCTGTTGGAAATTCAAAAAGACCAAACCCGAAGGATATCAAGGATGAAGCATATCTCCGCTCTAAGGGATCACAAAGTAATGGCTCAATGATGAGAGCGACACCACTCGCTGTATTCTGTTATAATATGAAGACTGGTAGTGCTGAAGATTTCAATGCTAAAGAATGGAGCCAACACAAAGCCTGTGTCTTTGAAGCAGCGGAGCTTGATACCTCTTTCACTCATCCGAGTCCAGCAGTCCACTATGTTGAAGGGCTGTACATTTACATGATCACTCTGATAATCAATGGAGTCAAGCTAGCCGATGTGTACCATACAATTATTGACGAAATTTATCAGTGAGACAGCAAAGAGTACAAGGACCTGATCCTTGATTGGGTTGACAAGTCTAACGAGAAAGAACTTGGTAGCTTAGAACACCAGATTGGATGGATGAAACATGCTTTTGTCTGCTGTCTCAGATACCTTAGACTTGCAAAAGAAAGTGAGGATTCAAAAGAACCCTTCTCTCCCACATTCTACGAAGATTCAATGGTGGAGATCCTGATGGGAGGAGGTGACACTGACACCAACGCTTGCATTGCAGGTGGACTCATCGGAGCTATTGTTGGGTTCGAAGGACTTCCAGAAATAGCGAAGACCAAAGTTCTGAGTTGGGATAATAACAAAAAAAAAGGTCATGAAAGGCCTGAATTCCTAGTCCCAAAATTTTATGCTGAGAATTTGATTGAGAGATTGTATGATTCAGCTCCAACAGGTTTTGAAATAGGCTAGATCCTCATTTATTTATCAATTTGGAGAAAGTTAGGAGGGGTTTTGGGGTTTTGGGGTTTTGGGGTTTTGGGGTTTTGGGGTTTTGGGG